CTCAAAACAGAATAAAAACAACAGTGGCAGCAAATCCTACTGCACCTACTGATAGCAGGACCATAGCAGATTCAGCAAAAGGATTATATACATCCATATGAATAACAAGAATGTCCAGTTATTTTGTGTTCTTAAACCCAGGGGCTTTGGAGATTGCAAACTCTTGCACTTTGTTGCATATTCAAGTCTCCTAACTATTAGCATGTAGAAAACAACTTTTTCTGCAGGTAGCGTATTGTGTGATAGCTTACAGAAGGTTGTCTGCATCTTTTTTTTGTAACCATTAGTTTTGTCCGTTGTTGGATGGGATACTGGATTAATTAGATTGCTTGATCTATTTTATTTTCTTTTTAATAGCAATACCTATATTCCTAACATGGTTTTACTGTGGTTGTTTCTCTAGTTAGCAGGCATCGTTACTACCAGCAAGTGCAGATTGGAAACTACTGATTTTTATAGCACCTGTTCAAACACCGATCTTCCTATGGTTTAGTGGCTATTGGACTTTGCAAATGCAGGACATGCACACTGTAGTACAACTCCTGAATTGCTTCTCCTGAAATCACAGAATAATCTGGAGTGATGGGCCAGCACTCCAGATTATTAGCAAACCACCTTGGAGTGGTGGTTTGCTTTATAACTTGAGGTGTGGACAGAAGGCAGGGGTAATAAAACCAGCATATCCTGCTTGATGAGCTGTCTTCATTTAAGGAAGGAGTCAAGTTGCCATTTGTACTCAGCTGAGAGCAAGCACTTTCTCTTTGTTTACTGACAAAGAACGAGTTAATGTGTTTGTAGTCGCATTCTAATAAAATCTTCTCTGCAACCAGCTTGACAAGAGTAAGCTGAAGCCCGGGACAAGAGTTGCTCTTGACATGACCACACTCACTATTATGAGGTAAGTTTGTAGCCGCGTTGTTGGGGAGAGGTGGTATTGCAGAGTTAGGGTATGAATTTGAAATCCTGTAGTTTAAAAATACATATTTCCTTCAAATTTAATGTATGTTACTTGTACAAAAGTGATCTTTCAGTTTTATTAGATCTGTTCCCTTTTTTTGTTTAAAAAAAGAAAAAACTTGTATGGAGGGGTGTGTGTGTGTGTAAATGCAAATGCTTTTTCATGCAAATGAAACCCTCCATGGGAAGTACACATTTTTTCTGTTTTTGATCTTTCTTGACAATGTGTTAGGATTGGGAGGATGGAAGCAGACTTCAATAATTGTGTTTGCTGTCAGTTTTTCAGGAAGACTGGCTTTAAAATTGTATTTAAATGATTATGTATGCATATATGCTGAATTGAAAAGTTAATGCCTCTTTTATTAATATTCAAATACTACAGATATTTGCCAAGAGAAGTGGATCCATTGGTTTACAATATGTCTCATGAAGATCCAGGGAATGTTTCTTATTCTGAGATTGGAGGATTATCGGAACAAATAAGGGAGCTAAGAGAGGTATCTAGTTTATAGAAATACTTGCTGAACTATTCTAACTATGCTGAGGAAAATGCATACTTCACATTTATTAGGGCTGGAAAGGTTGAATGAGACTTTAGTCCAGTACATATTGTTTAGAAAACCTGTTGAGAAGAAGTTTTATCTTCTAGCTGGATGAGAGTGGAGTTTGCATTCAGTCATAGCTTCATAGTTGGTCAGGTCGGAAGAGACCTGAGCAGATCATCAAGTCCAACCCCCTGCCATGACAGGAAAAAGTACTGGGGTGAAATGACCCCAGCATGGTGTTCATCTACCCTCCTCTTAAAGACCCCCAGGGTAGGAGCCAGCACCACTTTGCTTGGAAGTTGGTTCCAGATCCTAGTTGCCCTGACAGTGAAGTAGCACCTCCTGATGTCTAGTCATACCACAAATGTGTAGCTAAAAATCAGTATGACATTTACCATGGATAATCTTGAAAGGATGTTGGAGTTTCCTATCAGAGTAGAATTGCATATGCATATATAATATGTAATATGTTTGTATGTGCATGTTATAAATAGGAGATAGATACCTATTAGATTTAGAGAAACCTTTTGGTAAACATATTTAACCTATATCTATCTATCTATTAGATAATTTAGGGAGACCTTTTGATAAATATATATCATCTCTCTGTCTGAAATGCATGTATTTATCAAAGGGTCTCTAAATTATCCATATCATCCCTAACAGATGGTTATTCTAGGATTTTAGAATAGTCATACTATGGTACAGGCACCCAAAGTATGTCTGTACTATAATTGCAGGTAGGTAATATGATAAGTGGTGGCATACCAAAGTTTGATTTAACCTAGTTAGTTCAGGTGTTGATAGTGTGGTGATTCATAGATTATAGAGTCGGAAGGGACCCAATGGATCATCATGTCCGACCCCCTGTCCCTGGCAGGAAAGATGACGGAGGTCAGATGACCCAGCCAGGTGATTATCAAGCCTCCTCTTGAAGACCTCCAAGTTAGGTGATAGCACCACCTCTCTTGGAAGCCCGTTCCAGATTCAGGCCACCCTTACTGTAAAGAATTTCTTCCTAATGTCTAACCTAAATCTACTCTCCACTAGTTTGCACCCATTATTCCTAGTTACTCCCTGAGGCACTCTGGTAAACAGCGCGTCCCCAATTCTCTGCTGTCCTGCCCTGATAAAGTTATAGCTGGCTACAAGGTCACCCCTCAGCTGTCTTTTGTAAAGGCTGAAGAGACCCAGATCCCTCAACCTCGCCTCGTAGGGTCTTTCATGGATGCCATGCGAGTTGCCCTTCTCTGAACCCTCTCCAGATTCTCCGTGTCCTTGAAGTGGGGTGCCCAGACCTGGACACAGTACTCCAACTGCGGCCTGATCAATGCCGCATAGGGGGATCACCTCCCTCCATCTGCTGGTCATGCATTTGGTAATACACAACAAAGTGTGTCTGGCTTTGTTGATGGCCTTATTACACTGCCGGCTCATGTTCATCTTGGAATCAACTATGACTCCAAGATCTCTCTCAGCCTCTGAGCTGCTGAGGAGGACATCCCCCAATCTGTAGGTATGCTGGGGATTCCTCCTTCCTAGGTGGAGTACCTTACATTTATCTTTGTTGCATTGTATCCTATTTTGTTCCGCCCATTCATCTAACCTGTCCAGGTCGGCCTGTATCTGCTCCCTGCCCTCCGGTGTATTAACTTTGCCCCATAACTTGGTATCATCCGTGAACTTGGAGAGGGTGCTCCTCACACCCTTGTCCAAATCGCTGATGAAGATACTAAATAACACCGGTCCGAGGACTGAACCCTGCGGGACCTCCTTCCAGGCCAAGAACGACCGGTCCACCACCACTCCCTGGGTGCGGTCCCTGAGCCAGTTGGCCACCCCGCTGACTGTAGGCATCCGCTCCACAGCCTGTTAGCTTCCCTATGAGAATAGGATGCGAAACTGTGTCGAAGGCCTTCCTAAAATCCAGGTAGATGACATCGGCCTCAGCTCCTGTGTCAAGGCAATGTGCAACCTGGTCGTAAAAGACTATAAGATTTGTCAGGCAGGATCTACCTGTGATGAACCTGTGCTGGTTTCCTTTCAGCATTGTTTCCCCTGCTGGGCCTTCACAAATACACTCTTTGATGATTTTTTTCTAGTATTTTCCCAGGGATAGAGGTAAGACTGACTGGCCTAAAGTTACTGGGCTCATCCCTTCTCCCCTTCATAAAAATGGGCACCACATTGGCCTTTTTCCAGTCCTCAGGGACCTATCCGGAGCACCATGAGAGCTCAAACAGCCATGCCAGCAGCTCAGCAATGACACTGGCCAATTCCTTCAGCACCAATGGATGGAGGTCATCCAGGCCGGCTGAGTTGTACCCATCCAGCCCTTCCAAGTGCTTTTTAACTAAGCACTAACCTTTGGTGGTCTGGTGCCTTTTGGACATCTGTCCATGCTCAAGGTGGGGGAATTGTCTTGATCAGTATTAAGGAATACTGAAGTGAAGAACCCATTGAAAAGTTCTGCCTTTTTCTCTGTGTCAACCACCAACTGACGTGATTTATCCTGCAGGGGCTCTATGCTACTCTGCGCTTTCTTTTTGCTCGCTATACATCTGTAGAAGGACTTTTTATTGTCCTTAATTGTTGTAGCCAGCCTAAGCACCAGTCCTGCCTTGGCCTAACTGACTCCCTGCAGTAGCGCTCCAGGGTGGTGTATGCCTCCTTGGTGGCTGCCCCCTGCTTCCACTGCCTGTAGATCTTTCTTTGCCCCCAGTCTTTCCTGAAGCTCCCTGTTCAGCCAAGGGGGCTTTTTTATCCCCTTGGCCCCTTTCCTGCATAAGAGGATAGACTCCTTTTGTGCCCCAAGGATCACTCTCTTGAGAAACTTCCAACCCTCTTGGACCCCTATTAGCTCGGTGCTCTTGAGTTCCGCCACCTCACTAACTAGGCTTCTGCGTTTACTAAAGTTGGACCTTCTGAAGACTTTAGCATCACTGAATATTTTTCTCACCCTTCGCTAGATAGTGAACTCTACCAAGTGGTGGTCACTATCACCCAGGTTACTGTGTACCGCAGGTCCCCCACAAGATCATCCCCTGTTGCTAAGGCCAGGTCTAGCAAGGTGCTACCCCTGGTGGGACTGGACACCATCTGGGTTAGGTGGAGGTCCTGCATACAGTGTAAGAACTTTCTTGAGCAGCTTGTTTAGACCATCTGTTCCTCCCAGCTGATGTTCGGGTGATTTAGGTCCCCCATGACTACTGCCTCCATTGCCTGTATGGCATCTGAGAGCAGCTTGGAGAATACCTCGTCTAACCCGTCATCCTGGTAAGGAGGTCTGTAGTAGACCCCCACTACCAAGTCCTTTTCCCCTGGCCCCCCCTGGATCCTGACCCACAATGCCTCGGTATTCCCTTCCTCCACTGCTGTCTTGATGATGGATGATGTGTACTGCTCCTTTAACATACAGAACTACACTCCTGCCTTTTCTCCCCACTCTGTCTCGTCTATACAACCTGTACCCCTCAATGCCTACCACCCAGTCATGCATAGAGTCCCACCATGTTTCAGTTAAGCTGACTAGGTCATACTGTGTACTAGCAAGCAGGAGTGTGAGCTCCTCCTGCTTGCTCCTCATACTCCTGGCATTTGTGTAAAGACATTTTAGCCCCCCAGTGGGTGCTCTTGGTGTCCCTTTGCCTTGATGGCGTGTGTTTCCCCTTAGTGCTTACCTGGTTAGGTCTGGTGCCTTGATTGTGGATTTCCAACATTGGGTTCTCATCTACCAGCACTTCCCCATTCCCCGTCAAACCTAGTTTAAAGCTCTTCGGAGATCAGCCAACTTGTGGGAGAACAGATGGTTACCTCTAGGAGAGAGATGAAGATTGTCCCATCCTAGGAAGGCTTCTCCCTGGAAGTGTTGGTCATGGCTGTAGAATCCGAATCCCTCCTGAAGGCACCATCTCTGGAGCCGCTGGTTGACTTCCCTGCTGCGGGCATCCTGGCACCTTTGGCTGCTGCCAACTGGAAGGATGGAGCAGAAATACCAGCAGTGCAGTCCTGAGGATGGGCTCTGTACTGGAATCTGAGTACTTGGTATGGTGGCTAGCCTCAACTGAAGCTTGTAATGCCATCCATTTGCTGCTGCCGGTACCTGAACTCACTTAAATCAGGCTGAGGCATGTTTATCTATGCTGCAGTCATACTTTTGATTGCTTTGTCGGCATATCCTAACAGAGCATGCCACCTTCCCAGACTGCTTGCAATCTCACTCAATGCTGTGTGTGGGCCAGGAAATTTAATAGATGTCATAGTCATTAGAGCTGGAAGGGACCTCGTGAGATCATCTGGTCCAGCCTCCTGCCTAAGGGCAAGAAGTCGTCCAGATGCATAGTTTCATAGTAGGGTCGGAAGGGACCTGAGCAGATCATCAAGTCCGATCCCCCTCCACGGCAGGAAAGACTACTGGGGTCAAAAGACCCCACGGCAGGAAAGACTACTGGGGTCAAAAGACCCCAGCAAGGTGATTGTCTAGCCTTATATTAAAGACCCCCAAGGTAGGAGCCTGCACCACTTCGCTTGGAAGTTAGTTCCAGATCCTAGCCGCCCTAACAGTGAAGTAGCGCCTCCTGATGTCTAGTCTGAATCTACGCTCTGCCAGCTTGTGACCGTTATTTCTAGTCACTCCTGGGAGTGCTCGGGGGAACAGGGACTCCCCCAGTGCCTGCTGGTCCCCTCTGACTAGTTTGTAACAGGCCACTAGATCCCTCCTCAGCCTTCTCTTGTGGATGCTGAACAGGTTCAGGTCCTGCAGGTTCACCTCATAGGGCTTGTCCTGCTGCCCCCTGATCATGTGAGTGGCCCTCCTCTGGACCTTCTCCATGTTGTCCACATCCCTCCTGAAGTGCGGCACCCAGAACTGGATGC